AACATCGGCAGAGTATCATCAATGTTGGCAGAAGACGGCCCGGTCGTGTCAGAGATGTTACTTGGCAAATCATAATCTTCCGCTAACTGTGAGGCCTGGGTAGCAGCAGTTTCGCCAACAGAAACAAAGTATTCATTGAAGGAGTTAGCTACTTCCATTGAGTCTCTAGAGTAGGTTAAGTTAGAGTTTCCGTGGGGATCAAGACAACGGCGCACGGTCTTCCAGATCGACGATTTATTCGAGCGATTAGAGTTGATTTCCTCTCGAATAAGTTTAGTCTCAGATGATCTAATTTCTGTTTTGACACGTTGTCTCATGGATCTGTATGTGTCCCAGTCAGTTGACTGTCCTGTTTCGCGCGCCAACTTCTGCAAAGAGTCTCGCTGAGATATCAGGTCTTTTATTTCAGGAGTGATCACCCTTGACTTTTTATGTTTGGCCTTAAATGTCTTTATGGGGGCGTGTTGATCAAGAACTTCCAGAAACAAAGTGTTGAACATTGACACTTGGTCATCAATGTGGTCAAAGATGTTGATTGTATTCCAAGGAACAGATGAAATATCCTTACAGAAAGCCTTAGGGTCAAAGTTTTTGTAGCTGCGAGTTGTTATAACAGGTGGATTAGATCTTGGACGTTTCAGGTTAAGYACGCAAGAAGCCAAGAAGTGGTCACTGATGGTGGTGTGCAATACATTACAATTTTTAACAAGGTCCTCGTTGGAAGTAAGGATTACGTCAATGAGTGACTCTGATGTTGCAGTCACCCTGGTAGGCTCGGAGACCAGTTGTTTCAGATTTAGTAGAGTGCACAAGCTCTTAAGAGCTTTATATTCTGGTTTTTCGGGAGCAAGCATGTCGCAATTCATATCGCCAAGAATAATGATGTCTTTACCAAACGTAGCTGCTTGTGAGTAGGCTGGAGCTAAAACATCAGAAAGTGTGGACAGCGSTACGTCCGGCGGACGGTACACTACGCAAAAGACCAAAGATCTTAATTTTTTGTGTTGAATTGTAAACCATAATTGTTGGAAACCCTCTTCTGATGTTGTTGTCATATCGCGTAGCACTTTTAGTTTCAGGGTACTTCGAACATAAGCACAAACACCGGCACCTCTTTTCTTGATACGGTCCAGGCGAACTAATTTGTATCCCGGTATATTTATTTCGTTGTTTCTAACAGATGAGTTTAGCCACGTTTCGGACACGGTAAACACGTCRTAGTCACTTGTAGTAACAAGATCAACTACTTGATGGTAATGTTCGCGGTTCTTTAAGGACCATACATTCAGATGAGAGACTTTAATACAATGCGTCTGAACGCGAAACAGATTATTTTGGTTGTTATGGTAATTAGTCACTATGCTGATGAGGTTATCTCGAACGCTACCATTTGAGCCTCGTGAATACGGCTGTGTCCTGTTTGTTATCCGAGTAGGGATCGCAGACAAGGTCCCGATGTGCTCGTTTGTCGTTAGGACAGGGCCCGGCATCGGGTGGACATCGCCACTAAGCTTTATGGACGTTAAATTAAAGTTGAAAGTAGCATCGGAGTTATCATAATATTGAATTCTTCGTTTCATCCATCTCTTTGTGATTTTTGGACGTGTGCATGAGCCAAAGCGACGGCTAATGAGAGCGTATTGTTGGTTTGCTTTGTTAACCTGCTCCACTGAACCAGATCYGGCGACACATAAAAACAACAACTTTGAAGTCTTCAGGTTCAAACAGCTAAATCCTTGCAGTTTTAAGCCAAATTTAGGTAAAGAAGGCCATGAATCACGACTTTGAGTTCTTGAGTTGTTTATAGATCCTCCAGTAGTGAAATTAATTGGAATTGTACTTCGAAACAGTACGAGAAAGGCAATAAATACGGAGCGTTTGGACGCGCGACTTAACATGTTTATGTACATAAAAATGTACATAAAAATCGACTTTAATGGACGCGTTTTATCCATATGATAGTGTTCTGTTTTCTATACTTCTGTTGAAGATTAAGTACATCTATAAGGACTTATATCTAATACTGAGAAATTTGTCATATAAAATACAGCTTCTTTGAACAGTTCTAATGTGGGCGACGGTGGTTGACTTGACAAGCGTGGGTTTCAGTTTCAAACATCGAAGTTGTGCTGGAACTGAGTGAGTTTTCGCTGTGGTCTTGGGAAATATACTGGTGGAATATTTGCATTAATTCTTTTAGGTGTCGATTAAAACTTGAAAATATGTCTCACTCATACGAAATCCGCTCTATTGAAATATGATTCACAAATATACCTTCTTCTTTTCTTTGCTCCTCGGAGAAATCCTGTTTTTCTATTATTTCTTCGATTATCTGGTCCAATTGACTAATATTTGGCGAAATTCCTGAAGCTTTATTTTCCTCATTCATCCTTTTTCGATACTTATCGCACAACAATGTAATTCGATCTTGTACAGATCGTTTTGACAGCGATTCTTTAAATTATAATCCATATAATAGTGTTCTGTTTTCTATACTTCTGTTGAAGATTAAGTACATCTATAAGGACTTATATCTAATACTGAGAAATTTGTCATATAAAATACAGCTTCTTTGAACAGTTCTAATGTGGGCGACGGTGGTTGACTTGACAAGCGTGGGTTTCAGTTTCAAACATCGAAGTTGTGCTGGAACTGAGTGAGTTTTCGCTGTGGTCTTGGGAAATATACTGGTGGAATATTTGCATTAATTCTTTTAGGTGTCGATTAAAACTTGAAAATATGTCTTAAGGACCTGCTGGTTCAGAAACTTCAGTGTCTTTAGGCTTCACAATCATAATGAAGTCGCAGACATGTCAGAGATGTATTCGTTCAGCTATTTGCTTTCGGTCTCTTGGAATTGGATTTCTTTGCTTTAAAAGACCTTTTTTTCTCTCGGCGGAAATTCATCGAGTAGCTTTTCATCACTCACCGTTTTAGCTGTTGAATTTTTGTTTTCCTCCTGAAAATATTAGTTGTCAATTCACTCTCTAAAATGCTTTGTCTCTACATAAAGAAGCTTGAAGTTCTTGATTGAATTCCATGGTACGTTTTCACAAGTCTTTCCTGATTGGACGAAACGTTTAACTATATGGTTATTAAAAGAAAATGTTAGATGAAACAAAATATTTAGAGTGAATTAAACAAAGAAATAAACACTCACCCTTCTCCAAGTTTTCTGGCCTCTGCACGGACGTCAAAGCTGGTGTTTTCACGTCGGTGACCCGGCGTCACACACWTCATGACGTCACAAATCGTGTAAATATACTTCCGGTTGACGTTCGTGAATCAAAACCGTCTGTTGCTTAAGGTCTCTAATATGACGTCTAAGTTCTCGACTTATCTTTTTTGACGTACCACGAACATAAGGAGTACAGATTTGCTAATGGCATTTTCCTGATGGTTGGAATTAGGAGGGACACTGTGAATCAAGTCCTCACAACGCCGCATAAACAATGATTGTTAGTTTTTATCTTTGAGAACTCTCTTCACGTGTGTTAACTCTGCTTTCTTTTCTTGGTCGGAAGGTGGATTGCTGTTTGCACTAGGTTAGAGTGTTGTTGACACAGATCTTTTTAGTGCGCCTTGTGATATGGTATCTAAGAACGCTAAACCGGAGCTCTTCTCAACCCGTAGGTGAACTGTGTGTGGTTGTTCACAGAGTTCAGATGGTTTTTGAATTTATCTAATTCGCCTGTCTATAAATAGGTATGACTGTCGTCTACGTATCAAAACCACCACTTTGAAGGCCTGGTAAAAGTCGACAAAGCTCTTTCCTCTATGTACTCCATTACCATGTTGGCCAGTAAAGCACTGACGGAGACCCATTGGACAACCAAATATCTTCTTCTTTTTAGAAGATTGGTTTTCTGAGCTTGACTGTAACTCGGGGAACTTTACAACTGTGATACTTGTAGCTTACAGAACAATCATAAATTCTTGTAACAATCGCGCCCGCTAATTAAAAAAAATTCAACCTGTTATCTTACGCTCGCAAACTTAGCTCTTTTATTACAACGCGCTAAGGAAGGTCAGAGTTCTGACCGAAACGTCTGCGTTTTTTCATTAATATCTTGGGGTAATGAGAAACATTTTTATTCAGTTTTTATTAATACGGCTATATGGCTAAGGCTTTCATGTCGAGGGATCTAGCCACCAGTGCAATCATTTACCCTTTTAATCAAAAAAGCTACCACTAAATGGCGACAAAACTTAAAGATTGTTTAAGATACGAAGGACAAAAATCTGCATGCAGCCCCAGACTTTGTTCATAGATAAAAAAAATCCATAATTCAAAATATTGAAATTTTGAATTGAATATAAGTCAATAACATTTATTCTTGGAATATTTTTCGAACATCCATTCATAACTATTCAAAAAAAGTTTGAAATATCAATTTATGATTGGATGAGTACCATTACAATTAATCTTCCTAATGCCACAAATAACACAGCTAACCCGACTCCATACGAACAAGACAAAATGTGGCGTCAACAGCGTGGCTGGAAAGATTATATTAGTCAGCTAGAAATTACTGTATAACTCTTGTTTTTGCCAAACAAATCAGTCATTTCCAGCTATGCAATCATCAACATTCTCCTATCGCCATATAATATTTTAATGCATTCATTGTCTACGACCACAGGAATTATTATATCTTCGAGCGCAATTAGATGAGTAAAAGCGACTTACTGAATTGTACGGACAAGTGTTACAACAGTTGTGTGAGCAACGAAAAGGTCCAGCATTATTATTACAAGGAAAGAACTTCTTTGCCATATTGACATTACATCTTCTTTAGCTCGGAAATCAATATATTTCTTAGTAAGAAGCTTACACAAGCAATCGCAGGTCTCAAATATAACATTTTGTTTGTAAAAAGCAATTTCCCTATTACCACGTCACACACGTAACATCCGGTCGTCAGGCATCTTGGTTTTTTCGGATTTCCACACCATTATATATCTTTATACGCAGTTTGTTTAATCAACCATGAGTAATTTTAAACTTCTTTCCAAGCTTTCGACCTAAGCGGTCATCTTCAGGGAACACAAAGACGTTACGTCTTTGTGTTCCCTGAAGATGACCGCTTAGGTCGAAAGCTTGGAAAGAAGTTTAAAATTATTCATGGTTGATTAAACAAACTGCGTATAAATATGAAAAATACAACCAACAAAGATCTTTTAAAATTATATATCTTCTTCCTATACTCTTCGATTGTTTATGCAATCTTTGATTTAAAAATGGCTATATGAAACGTTTATCATATTAATTGTTATCTTTTAAAGGCCATCAAAGAGCTAGAGAGCAACATGAACTCTTACCTGAAGCAAGTAGTTAAACAACTACCTAAGGTATACAAAGATTCCGAGTTTAATGGAGGTGATCTGTTTGTAATACTTCAAGGCTTGACAGCATTTGCTGACAGTTCAGTGCAAGGCAATCCCGTCGCGGCTGTCAACGCAGCCATTGATATCGCTGCACATTTTGCTACAAAATGCAATACGGGTACTTTACAAGAAAACCTGGAGAATATTAAAACATGGCTGAAATTCGGGGAGGAATATAAAGTCTTAAAGGATTCCAATGATTTGGATTTTGACAAGGTGAACGTTGGGTCGGTGCCAGAAGTGATGCAGGTGAGAAGAGGACTCATGCTATAAAGATTAGGTTTATTCTATAAAGACTGCCATCCCATTCTTCAATTTCAGCATATGAATGCAGGGTATATTTACCTATATTTAGGCCTAAGTGACAAGTATTTCATTTTTTCTTAAAAGGCTAACCTAGAGATGAACAAAGAGGGACTGACGGCAGATTTGGTGTGTATGATCGAGGAGAGATCGCTCCCGAGAAACGTGGCAAGTTTTAAAAAAACAATTGAGCAGTTCTTTATAGCAGGGTCTGCTAGGATTGATCTCATCGCAAAGGTCATCGATTTGGACAATCAGATTGGTGGATATAACTTCGACATACCAAACTTAGAAGAGACTGTAAGCGAACTAGACGAATTGTCTAGCATTGGTGGTGAGAAAATTATTGTACAATACTTGGATATCATATTTATTATATTTTTAGAACTTCCTTTTTCACAGAGTACGTCAATTTACGACTCCTCAAAATTTGATATTACTATAAGCTTAACTAAAGTAAGCCTCCCAGAAAATTTCATTTTTGAGCGAGTGTTATTTTTAAAAAGCATGATTTTCATCAAGTTTTCATCTGCGCTATAAAATCATAAAAAAACCTTTGTAAATTAACTCAGTGTTGGTCTTAGACATTTCTAATCAACGTTTTACAGTAGGCTCCTAGACATACCCTGGTAGAACTCAAATAGCAAATCTATAGAAAAAACAACTCTCCTGACCTAGCTAATTATTGTATGTCTTTGCAGAAACTCCTATCGCAGACAATATTCAGGAGTCGTTCCTTGATAATCTACTCACATCGTATCAGAACATTGAGTCTTCTTTTTCTCAACATCTCTATAATTTCTATAAAAGCTACGAATTTTTCACGCTGTGGAATGTTACCAGCAGGCTTACTGCGTTTGAGAGGACGGCGAGTGAAGCCGCTTCAGGCAATGGCCAGCTTCAAGGAGCTGTTATACTTACGAAAGCTTTTCAAGAGATAAATGACATCAATTTCAAAGAAAAGCAGTGCTTTGCCAAGTTTTCGCCCAAAATCGACAGACATAAATGGTCTTTTAACAGTACAGACAATTCCATGGTAAACAATTATTCCTTATGTCAAAGATTAAGTTTTGTTTATTTCCCTGTTGTGTCTCTTTTGCATAGAATATGGCGAGATAGCATTTCATATTTCTGTCAATTATAGAAATAATTTCTCTTTAGATTAATGTTTAATACAGGCTGGTGAAATGCTCCATTCTTTTATAACTCTTTCACTGATACCACCGCGAGTATACAAAAATGAAGCCCTACAAGTCTGCTTCACAAGACACCAACGAAATCCAAGAAAAAAAGCAAACAAGAAAAGAATGAAGTGATCAAGTGCGAGAAATATAAAGCAAAAGAACGACAAAGAAAACCCCCTCTTTGTCTTTTTTATCCCTTCTAATATTAAATCTACTGCTTTTCCCGCTTATGCAGATGTCGTCGGTTAGTAATAAGGATGCTTTGTTATTTGATATTTCAGTTATTCACCGACTTGCATAAAGGGATGGCAAATGTGGCTCTTAAGATGTTTAACATTTCGGACAGCAGCGAACCGTTTTACAACATACGCCTTTACAAGGTAAGAATCGAAACTAAAAATCAGTTCGTACAAGGTGGAAAGTGAGTGCACTATTATAGTTACTGCATTTTAGTCACAAATCGAGCAATTTTAATTAAAAGAATTAATTAATTAATTAATTAAAATTAATTAATTATTATATTATAAATTCAAGCATTTATTTTATAATTTTGTATATTTTATTTATAATTAATTAAAAGAATGCTTGAATTTCAGATGTATATCGAGCTATATGGCGAAGGTGACATCACCAAGAAAATAAATAATTTACCAGCGATGGTCAGGTTAAAGGTTCAACGTCAAAGTGCTTCATACTTTAAAGACGGGGCTGGACATGCCAGGGAGTTTCGTCAAAGTCTCACAGATTGGAGAAAGTTTGACTTTAATCGTTTCGGTATAACTGATGAAAATAAATGCAACAAGGCATTTCTACAGGGAATAGGTAAGTTAGGTTAGTTTTCTTAAAATAAAACTTGTAGATGCAATGAGCATTCCTTGTCTTTCTCCTGCATATGTAATTCAAGCTGACTGCAGAAAAATACAAATAGTGGAAATAGTATTTTGTTATTTTAGATATGTATGTTCTCTTGGATTTCAAGACAGCAATCGTTTCTATAGTTAGCTGGCCCAATAAATTTTACAGTGCAATTATTAGCGTTTCTTGGATGTTGCTTGTCCACTATTATCCTATTTCGCTTGTGCACATTTGAGGAGGATGGCTAAATTTAGTGTAGCACGAGGATAGTTTTGTCAAAACAACTGATCTATGTAAGCTATGAAACAAACTTCCGTTTTCAAATGTAGGTGACTCGCTTTACTGTTTGAATGAAGATGACCATCGTCTTAAAATCATGTCATGCCGACAAGGGAGAAACCTCAAGTGTGAAGACGGAGTAGGAGCACCGGAATGGCCGAGTCCTTTTGGAACCTACACCCTTTCTCTACCAATTGATGATAAGCTTGAATGTAAAAGCACAACTAGAGTTAGTACCAAAAACTGCAAAGACTTTGATGTAAGTGTAAAAAGATAAAATTAACTTTATGGATAGAATAAATGATTTTCATAGCATTATCATGTCATAATCCAGGACAAGCTGACAGATTTAGGTAGAATAGGATGAATGAGATACCGAATATATTCATTCTAGTTGATATTCAACATCGAATAGAATAGGAGATTACGTGAGAGGAATATTTCGATTTTATTAAAAAACATCATCAGGCTAATAATAGTGTACAAAACGCAAAGACAATACAATATATACTAGATAGATGAATTAATTAAACAGAGTTAATTCTCTAGAGGCGCGGAGGCCAGTGTTTAAATATGGTTTGTTTTGCTTAATAAAAAATGCTTCTTTATACAATAAAAGATATCAATTATTGTCACTACTTATAACAGATGTGTTATTCTGCATGGTGTTTTTTTATAAAATTGTCACTCATTAAACTTGTTTACATCATGGATGGAAAATAAATCTAACATAAATCTAAATGACAAAAGATGGCACTGTCTTTCTTGTGACTGTGTTCTAAAGTTCTTTCATATAATATCCGATCAGTTTTTCCTTTGTATTTCGAACGGCAACCGGGACAGGAGAACTCGTACACAACATTAGATTTATTCAATATGGGTGTAAGGTCTTTGTGAAGTAGCAGAGTTTGGATGTGTTGTAGCGAACTTTGAACTGAACACCTTTTGGTAATGTGTTCGCCTTTATCGCCGATGTACGGAAGATTAAACCAGATGGTAGGTGTTTTAKAGTCATCGTGACTTGTATTGCTATTGTTGTTGTTACTGCTGTTGATTCTCTCATTAGTAGATTTCTTAAATTTTCCGATAAGACGTTGAGAGAGTTTTTTTGGGAAACCATTCCATAAACAAAAACGTTTAATTTTATTGATCTCGGTTGGGATCTTGTTAGGAGAACAGATAGTTAAAACTCGATGAACCAATGATCTACATCCGCGAAATACTCCAGTTTCGAATTCATAGCAAATAACCGCTGCTTTATTTGACAACAGATTCTCTTGCGCAAAGACCTTACAAACACAAAAGAGAGCACGAGAAAATGTCGTTATTACAATAGACTTGAAAATTTGCATTTTCCCCGATTTGAGATTACCCCTGTATTCCCATAAGACCTAAGGTATGAGCAGGGTTAGCCTCAACTCGGGGAAAATGTAAATTCTTAGCGCTATTGTATTAACAACATTTTCTCGTGATTTCTTTTGTCTTTGGTAAGTTCCTTGCGTAATAGAATCTACTGTCAAGTAAAACAGCGGTTACTCGCTTTGAATTCGAAACTGGAGTATTGCGTGGTTCCAAGGTACAAAACTTTTGAAGTTTGTATATTGAGCTGTAAATGTTAGTTTTCTAAAGATGTTTAACCCAACTGGAGATATTGCAATAGAAAGTGTGAAAGAACGTAGTTTGGAAACGAGTCGTATGCGAAGCGAATGTTCTTATGAAACTTGTGGAATTTATTCAGAATATGGTCAATATGGTCTTCCTTTATGACCGAGAGTGTATCATCCACATATTGACAATAGAATTTAATCAAACCCTTGTTCAACAGATCGTTAACAATTTGTTTCTCAAATTCGGTTAGAATTTGCATTTTCTGCAGTCTCTTAGGTGTCGGAAAAGAAGAGAAAGAGAGCATCGATATTGATTTTCCCCGCGGTTTTTTTGACATTAAATATTTTATACATTTTATCATTGGAACTGATGTAACAATATTTCTAGTGCAATCTCTTAGGGGTTAAAAATCAGTCAGCCAGACCCCTTTTTAAAGACCAACAGGATCTTTTAGGGGTATTTTTGAAAATTTACGACGAGCATCCCCGGTACTTTTACCCCGGAGTCCCCCCCCCCCCCCGGGTTTCAGCCATTCGCTTGTCATGCTTCAATAAATACATTGTGTTTTGCTGATTTCTTCTATGGATTTCCACAGCGATCCATCTACACCAAAATGAACATCTGGGTGTACTTTGTTCACTGGACTAGAAACTACCCTGATGGGCCAGACGACACAATATGCAACAGTAAAGATCAACCAGAGGACCAATATTCAAATGGCAATAATAACATTTTCCACTAGATCACAGAATAGAGGTTGTCATACGACTTCCATATATGGATGTTCATATGCATGGCTCTAATGTACCTATAGAAGGCTCTCATGTCCCTATAGATGGTTCATTGATTATATATTCAATGTTATGTACATATGCGTGGTTATTCATGCATGCCGTTGCATAAATATCACAAAAATTTAGGTTCACTCAAGCGAATTGGTCTCGTGTCTTAATGGTTATAGGTTTAGGGAAAATATCGGGTTAGGCAATGCATAGCGCTGGTTCGAATCTTAGTATTCGTCCTTCAACAATTTCTTTTCGGTTCAAGTTTAAGTCTTTGAATTTTTTTCTCCACATAAAAAAAGTTCTTCTCCACATAATTGGGACATCAGAGTCTTCTACGAGCACATTAGCGCCTTCTATGTGCACATCAGCGCCGTACATGCACAACCGTATATGGAAGTCGTACGACAAACACTTCTCAGATCACAACAATCAATATAATTAGAATTTCTACAGTTTAACACAGAACGAGCATATAAAAAAAAAAAATCAGAAAATAAGAGAGAGGAAAGCATATATCAAAAGCTTCATAAACAATTGAGGATTAAATTAAATGATCAAAAATTGCGATTTGGTTTCTCAGTGGGTAGTAAACAGCTATTGTAAACTTCGGTCGAATATTATTTTGCCTAATGTTATTTTTCAAGCTTTCTGGTGTATAATAACGTGACCTTGGTATCTTGTTAACAAGATAACTGTCAATATCATTATCCACATCATTTTGTTGGTCGTTAAGCTTGTGTGGCCCAGCTTCTTTGTTCAACATGGATTTTATTCAAACTAACAAAACAACCTGACAGCCATCTTGGATCTCTCCAAAACATCCCTCGTGGGCCCCAAGATCCCCTGCGCGCCACAGGGATCCCGCGCGCCACATCCTCCCCCGGTGGATTTGATGTCGTCCGCGACATCTTACAACTGGTCCCATCATTACATAAACTGTGATCAATGTTCTATCAGTGTTCTCAATCAGTGTTCATTATGCTACTGTAGTTTGTTCTTTAGTTTTACAAACAGTTGTTTTCCCTTTTCAACTTTTGCTTTATAATCTGAACTTCCCCGAACATAGTTTGACAAGTAACTTGGTTTTGTTCTTTTCCTTGTTGGTCGATTATGCACTACTGTTTGTTCAGATGGTTCTTTATCAACAGCTTCATCTTTATCAGCAGCTTCTTTGTCTTTGACAGCAACTTCTTTGGCTGTGTTGGGAACGCTGTTATCTTTGTCAACATCTGCAAGGATTTCCGATTCGTTATCTGCATCCGTGCTGTCACTTGAGTTTGTACTTTCATCTGAYTCTCCTTCAGTGTCATCATCTTCCTCAGTGTTGTCATCTCCTTCATCTGTTTCATCTGCACTTTCTGTATCATGAGTATCATCACATAAACAGATATTGCTAATTTCCAGAGCTGTATGTCGTCTTAGTTTCCAATTCACTATGTTTTCTTTGTTATTCATAGGGTTGTATATACCATAGAAACAAGAGGCCGTTATGCATGAGCATGCGCGCAACCGCTGCGATATAACGACCATGGGCTCTAGAATACGGGTAGAAAATGACGGGGTGACCTACGTAGCACGCAGTTGATGTAATGTATTCATAAAATGTATTGTATTCCATTGTTTCTCGTTCTATTGTATTATGTGTTTTGTATTATATCTTTATGAATATGTTACATCAACTGAGTGCTACGTAGATTCTCCCGTAGAATAACATTGTAGTAGCTGCGGAAGCTTCGATTCTGGACATAATTGACCAAGTAGATATATTTACAATGCACACGAATATCTTTCAAACTTTATATAAATTACTGTGAGTCTCGGGCTAGATTTATAACACGAAGCCACTTTGTACCGTTAAAATGTAGTGAATTATTTGTGCACACCTTTAGCAATAATAAATTCCTAAGATGTGAATCGATTGCACTGCAATAGTTTATTTCATAACCTATAATGATACAGCTATAGAACTACACATAGATATTTATGATAACTTGATTCAAACAAGCTCAACTCTTCAGCCAAAAGAATGCTAAATCTGTCGTGAGTGCTCAACAGCACGTAAGAATTTTCAGAATTAACACCGTTCCACATTTTTCATAGACAAGAAAACATTATCAAACCATTTGCAAAGCATAAGTCTTGATATTGGTAGCCTTATTCTAATGAGTCCTGGTGGTATATAAAAGGAAAGTTGTAGTATTTCATGTAACAGTTTTAAAATAATATTTAAGCGTAAATATTGTACACTTCAAGAAACTGTCTTTCGAACATTTCGAGGTCGATGTTACTAAACGATGCCTAATTATATTACTACATGTGTACATTTACCATTTACTTCATGACTTGCGTTGAATCTTGATCAACACTCAGCAAAAACTGGAATAGTAGTTGCGTATATAAACCACTGCAGCCTCCATATAATATTGTAAACACAAAGTCATTAATATCAACATTTCTTAAATAAGATTTTAAACGGTCCCAATCAGTCCAATAACGCCAGTGTTTTTCCTAGTTGTAGGTTACACTATTTATGAGTGTTCTTGAGTCATGACAGAACATTTCAGGGTCAAAAACAGCCAAAAACGTTTTTGGAAATTGTCCTTCCTGTCGTTGTAATTTCTCGCTTGAAGTGAATCACTAATSAATTTCAATGAATTTTCAACAGACTGGCGCATGCGCACGCCAAACAGCCCCTTGTTTACCATAGAAACTTAAAGCCGGGGAGGGATTTGACATTCAGCAGGGAATTGTGAGGGGTTGAATAGCTCGTTATAAATTCAGCGCCGGGGCTATGTATGAGTGACAGGGATTACTCAATAGCCCGCTGAATTTATAACAAGTTATTCAGTTCAATTCATCAACCCCAAATTTCCCTGCTCAATATCAAATAAACTAAGTAAATTAAACTATTTTTCCCCTAAAAAAGACCAGTACAGCCAGCAGGAGATTTAGAGTGAGGACATTTAGTGAGGAGATTTAGAGTGTAATAAGTTCGAGTCCCGCAGCTTTTCTTCATATGTTCATCAGAGAATAGAGACAACAATAACCAAGATCTTCGTTACTTTTTAAACTATAATCTATTCTTCGGAATTAACCAACGTGTATGAATCAGAAGTAATCGGTGTGACTCGTATTTCTCCGCTACTCGGTCCATTCTATCCAAGCACGTACACACGGCCATTTGGTACTTTAGTTTGTCCCTTTTTGAATCCTTCCCTTTTAGTTTTTCGAGCGAGTTCAACATCAAATTAAAAACTATATTGTAATTTTTCTCATTTTTCCCATCTGCAGACTTTGTGATCGTTATTTACGGGCAGAGGCATGCGTAGCTCCAAATCCGATAGCAAATCGTCAATATCAAAGTTCGGCAAAGGAATGATGTCAAACGTATTTTGAGCTATAAACAAATCGTCACTGTTGGACATCGTTTCCAGAATGACTGTTAAGAATATTTGATAACAATATTCAAATTTCGATTGCTCGCTTTCGCATGAACAAGTTTTCTTAAAGGAAACTAATTTCAACAGTCCATGACAAAGTCTCAAGAGAAGAGGGTTCTATTGTTCGAATATCAAATATCAATAGACTATCAATAGATTATTAATATATTAGGAACCATGCTGTATTATTTATATATTTATATTATTTATGTTTTGAGTTGTAATGCTGGCTGACCCGCAATTCAGCCTATAAATGCTGCAATGGGTTCAATTAAACAATTATTGATTGATTGATTGATTGATCCCAACTAAGAAAACATTCATTTAGTCTATTCATTTTTTGCGAAAACCACGTGAATTGAAAACTAAGTTTGTTAGTTACCTCGCACGTCGGCATTACGCTCTATACAGCCCTCGACCTGTATATAGCGTAATGCGTCCGTTCTCGGTAACTAACTCTCACTTTTTACGTCATTTAATATTTAAATCTCAGAGTAGACTCGCTGCAATTAATGTTTTGAACATTTTATGACGTCAAGAGTGTGTCAATATAAGAACATGCAAGGAAAAAATGTCTAGATTTGTCTTTTTAAATATTTTTGTCCTAAACATAAGAGAAAATCATTCCTTTCTTTGAAGTGAGCGCGTTCAAGACTTGATGTTGTCAGCACAATGTGCATAAATACTCTTAGTTAATGACAACCTCAATCTCAATGCCAGCCAATCGGGATGCAAGTATTGATAGAAATGTAATATGAGAATTGATATAATACATATCCAAACCAAAACAAGGTGTGATGGCCGCCAGGACTTTCTGCTGTACAAAAAAATCATTAAAGTATAGTATATTCTTCCATCGTCCAGGTCGCGGTGGCAACGCTGATCGTCTCTTATACAGCGTGAGAAAAATAGAAGGACATATCTCACTATTAACCTGCCCTGGAAAAGGAGGCCAGGCGGCTAAGAATGGTAGAGGAGGTCCTGGTAAGATGATTATTAAATGCATATTTAAATGCATATTAAAAAACATGATTACAAAACATCAAGTGTTGCAAAAAAAAAATTACTTTTTAAACGTCTGCCAGCACACTGACTCCACGTACCATGCCTTATCTATTTGAAGTGTAAGCAAGCCCTCCAAATAGAAAAGCGCATAGAAATCTGTCACTTTTTGCTGTATCATGGTCCATCGTACAAATGGTTGTGAAAGAAGATAATCTTAACACCGTAAAAAAGTAGGTGAAATCATTTACTAGCGTCTGAATTGAAATGTCAGCAAGTGATTTCACCTACTTTTTTCCGGTGTTAAAATTATCTTATTCCTCAACTGATTTTTTTTTAGAAACAGTGACTCAGCTCACACTAGTTTACCTCATCATAAATCGTACAAATTGTTTATGACATCTCATTTATAGTCATTAGAGATTTAAGCATTTCGTAGATGTGAAACGGCAAAATTCAGGGACAAATAACTGCCAACTTTCGCTCCTGGCGTTATGCGTTAGGTACTTTAATGAAAGAGGAGCTTTACAGCAGAAACATTATTATTACAAAATTAAGTAATTAGAAAGATTAGCATAGGGAGATCAGATACAAGCACACCCCGACATACACTAAATTAAATTTATCAACAGGTGGGAGAGGAGGTCTGGGTGGACGTGTTATAGGCAAGGGTGCAAATAGTCCTACTTGTGAGGGCGATGGTACCTATGGACGAGGAGACCGAGGATATACCGGTAGCAGGGGACAAAACGGGAAAAGTTGAGTAGAAAACTACTATACTCCTACCATCATGACTACCATTACTACTACTTCAACTATTGCTGTACTACTCCTACCATCATGTCTACCATTGCTACTACTTCAACTATTGCTGTACTACTCCTACCATCATGACTACCATTGCTCCTACTTCCATTATTACTACACTATTTCGCTGCTATTATTTTCTCTTGTTTCAATATTTTCAGCTAAAGTAAAAGCCGGTACAAGGGGAGAGGTTGGTGCGAGGAATCTTCAAGGAAAGCCTTTTGACGACTCCAGAAAGAAATATCCTTTATTTTTGATTCGCTTGATGATGAGAGTGGCCGAGGATCGGGTGTGGGCTGTTGAAGCAAAGGCAATACTTGATTTCGTCGTCAACGTTACCAAGGGAAGAGATAACGCGTCTAAAATTAGAAAATGTAAGTCAATCAAGCGAAAAAACATTATGTCAGTATGAATAAACACAATAAATCGAATACTATAAGAATTATCATCAATCAAATTGCGTATATTACGGA